GAAGATAAGCTGTGAGAAGGTAGGTTGAGGTGGTTGGGACGTGAGGAGATAGAGTGTTGACGCATTTGTGCGAAGATGCAAAAGGCTTTCATTGGTGTGCGGGAGTATGAGAAGAGGTAAATCTAGGAAAAATTAGAAAGAAGCGATTTGAATTGACCTAGAATCTATTGTCCTTACAAAGGATATGACTTTAGATAAGAGCGTTTGGAGATCCACGATTAGAGTTGTTGGGTGGAAGCGTTGAGTAAGGTGGTAGTTTTTGCATTTGTTGTGTGCTTGTTATGTTGGGTGTTCTTTACTTATCGTGTTTTACTGTTGCTAACTTTAGTTTGTTCTTTATCTCGACGTGTAGTGTGCTTTGTGCTTTTTCTGCTCTATGTTTTTATGATCTTATATCAATTGTGCTGCTTGAGTCGGGGGTCTCCTAGAATTTGTCTCTCTACTTTTGAGTAGTGAGTAGGAACAAAGTCTGCGTACACATGCGTCCTTCCACATCCTCCATCCTTCCCCTCCTCCATCCTTCCCCTCCTCCCCCTGACCTATCTCTCGTGGGATCCAAGTGAGTCGTAATTGTGTATTTGAAAGCATCTCAATTTCAAGAAATAGATTAAAATAGCAACAATGAAATCACAAATTGACTTGTTATTTATAGAAGCGGAAAGCGTGGCTCTTTAGCAAACTAATTTTTTAAAATTGTCAATAGCTTTTTTTCATTAAATATGGAGTACTCCGTATTCTAAAAATAGATAATTAATTATGTATTCCGTACGTCATAAAAAACTATATATTCATTTTTTTATTTGTATAAACTTAAATCATACGAATTCAATTTTAAGTTCTTGCGACGGATGAAGTATATCCCCCGCATTCTCCAATTTGTTACTATTTCTAAATTTTGTAAGTTAGATCTTCTTTCTTTAATCATTTGTTAAAAAAATAATCGCCTCATTTTTTGTTTTGTAAATTTATTACTCTGTATTTATGTTTAAATATAAAAAATTTATGTTTCAATCTAAAATGAATATCTATATAAATTAAATTAGACATAAGATAACAAACTGAAATGTGAAGTTTCAAATAAAAAAGGATAGCCTAGTAGTTATGGTCAATTTTTCACCACACCACTTTGTGAGTTTGTGGGCTAGACATAGGAAGATGTACAAATAATAAAGAGATTATTCAACTTTTAAGGGCATCAACGCCAAGGTTGATTCCAATTTTCAATTGACTGTCTTTTAATAATTAATTCAATAAAGTTATTTTAAAAAATAAAGTGTGTTCTTGAAGAAAAAAAGTTAAAAAGTCGACGGCCTACCAACGTCGAATCTACCCTGAATATGTCTCCCCAATTATTTTAGACTAAATATATATATTTGGAATTATTACTCATTTATTGGAGTAATAAAATCATCATGTTAATTAATTAGTCGTTGTTCATATTAGTGAGTTTTGTTCACACGTGGTTGATCAAGTCTTGAAGGCTAGTCAAAAGTAGGTAGTAGCTCCAAAGTCCAAAGAAACAAACAAAAAAGAGTTTTTTTTGTCATGCCATTAAGGTAGGTACATCATGGAAATACTTTTAAAATTTTGGTGGATCGAGAACAACACACAGAATATCATGTACAATTAACTACTTACATATAAAGTTAGAATCCCTTTTCTAATCCAAAATCTTAAACTCATATGTAGGATTTGACCTTTCTATATTTGCTAGTTACCACTAGAAGAAGGCAGGGTGATAATCCATAAATACCAATTATTTTGATTCTCACATTTCTAATGTGAGATACTCTCTAATACTCCTCATCAAGTAGACAATCAGACCATTTTGAATCTAATTAGTTAAACAGATGAGTAATCGGGTTAAACAAGTCACATGTCGTTGGATATACATTCCACATGAACAATTGGGCTAAAGATTAGAACTGTTAGGAATAAACGTTTAGACGGACTTCTTAACAAATGAGGTAGACTAAAACTGGATCTAATGTCATTATAGAGTTTAGGATGGGGTATAGATAATTAAATTGGACAATTAGACACTTGGACTGAGCCACATTAAAAAATTGAATCTAATCGATTACTTAATTCAACTCAAGAGCTTATATACCCATTATTTTCTTTACACCTTTTTAGTGTAGGATATTCTTTAACAATTCCTCTCAAGTGGTAACTAGCATGACCTAGTTAGCACTTGGACAAACGAGTCTAGTATCTCAATCTCTTATACCTAGCTCACACAACGGGAGGTGGCATCTCGATCTCTTATAGCCAATTCAACCCAAACCACAGACGGGTAGCTTATTATTTTGCTAAACCCACGTCCAAACAACCAAAAAGAATCAAACTTGGATCAGACCTGCTCCGATATCATGTTAGAATTTAGAATAAGGTAGAGAACACTAGATTGGGCTCTAAGATACTTGAGTTAAACCATATTAAAAGATTGATTACTTAGTTCAATTCATAAACTTATATACCGATTATTTTGTTCTCACATTTCTAACGTTGGATACTCTTCACTGAACTTTGAGTGTTTATATATATATATATATATATATATATATGTATGTATGTATGTATATATATATATATGTATGTATATATGTATATATATATATATTGGTTCATGTGAGAATGCGATCTTATGAAAGAAATAAAAATGAATCTAGTGCTTTAGATTGTGAGATCTAAGGGTCAGGATTGCATCAAAATTAGATGCACTAAAATGATTTGAAAATGCATCATGTCGAAATGCACCAAAATCCTTTAAAAATGCACTATCTCAAAATCTGAGTGCAGAATGCAATCTGAGCCGCACGATGCATCAGATCCAAAGGCTAGATTTTTTTTCTTATTTCTTTCACCAAGGTGCATTCTCACCTGAACCGTCCCCTATATATATATATATATATATATATAAGATTATTTGAATTTCACCATTTTTAAGAAACATAGTTTAGCCGGTTGTAGATCTTCTACATTTATTTTGATGACGTGAAGGTTTCCAACTCCACACTTTTTCTAAAATGTGAAATGGGGTCGAGCATGCTATGAGTAAAAGGGTCCCTTACAGAGAATTTTCGATTGCATTATGTGTGTTTGAGCAAAGATTTTAGTTTTGTATTATGTAACACTATTTAAATAAGTTTTGAGTGTCTGATCGAGAGAAGTTATCCTAAAAAATGTAAAATGCAATCGAATAAGTTGTGGGTAAAAGGTCAAGACCCTTAAAAAATCTTGATGTCAGACAAATGCAATATGGTAAAAGTTACGATATTACATAACATGATTTCAATAAACATTTTATCCAAATTTAGCAAAGATGTGAATAAGGATACTATAATTTTTTTGTCATTAAACTTCATGATAGTCATGGGATGACATTGACCACCTAAGATTTTTTATTGACTCGAAAGTAATTTCTACCTCCTAATCACCCCATCAAAACCCCCTCTTACCCCACCATAGCCTAGTTTGGATTTTGCTGAAATGCTACATCAAATATTGTTGCATTTTGGTGAAAAGCAAGGGGGACAATGAAGGGTGAAGTGTGATGCAAAGAGTAGGAACCATTTTCGAATCTAATACAACATTTTAGGTGTATGATGTCATCGCATAGTATTAAAGTTTAATGTTAAGAAAACCCTAGCTGGAATAAGAATTGTAAAATATGTGAGAGGGTAACTCTATATTTTTTACCTCAAGTTTAGCACAAACACACAAAAAATGAATGTTTGTGCAGTACCTACAATTATTATCTATATGTGTCTATGCAAAACATGTGGTCAAACATGTGGGATTACTTTGACATTATTTATCTGTAATAGTTTTATTATTTAAATTAACTGATAAAAAACACAAAAAGTCATAGAACTGTAGTAATGCCACTGTTGTTAGAACTGGACTAGACCAACTAGTCCAACCGGTCAGACCATGATATTCTGACCTGTTTCAATTATAAAATACTCTTTCCCATTGAATCGCTCGAACTCGAAAAAACTGGCAGACTAGGTTGACACATCGGGATCGTGGATTTAGATCTTTTTTTGTTTTAGTTTTCTATTAGGAAATAAAATGATTAGAATATAATTAACCTGTCTTTATCCATCCAAAATAGTTTCATTATTTAAATTAATTAATAAAACACACAAAAAACATAAAAATTAAATGTAAGGATCCTACTGTAGTTAGAATCAGACAGGCCAGTCCAACAGTCCAACCGATCAGACCGCAATATTACGGTCCGATTCAATTGTAAAGTCCTTTTTCTATTTACCCGCTTGAACCCGGCTGACCCGGAGAAATGGGTTGAGCTGTCCAGGTCGTGGGTTTAGATCTTTTTTTTGTTTTAGTTATCTATTAAAAATAAAATAACAAGAATAAGATCTCAACGCACGACTTTAATATATACTATGTAACACTTAACACTCTAATCATCTATGCTACTAAACAACTTATTACTAAAGTTATGCAAAACAATATTGAGTATATATAGAGCCTATATGGAAATAAATTAGAGGTTAGCGTTAGGGTTTTGAAAAAAACTATCTACGAGCATCGTTTAGCGTTGACACTTTCAAAATTAATCTACACCGTTAGAATTTTATCTAAAACCCTCTAATAAGAAATGTTATTACCAAACGGTCCCATTGTAATTATGATATATGGTTTGTGTAAATTTATCCATTTGTTTTATAAACTTTTAAAATTATTCATGGTAAAAAAAAGATGTTTTTTAATATTAAAATAATAATGAATATTTTATATCTAAAAAAATTACCATTTATTAAAATCAAGAAACATATACGAACTATTTTTTATATTTTGATCTGAAAATATATACTAATTATAATTAAAAATAGATAGTGTAAAAAAATTATATTAACAATGACATTAAAAACTAGTTGAGGAAGAGAAAAAGGCATGTATTTGTGAGTAATCCTGGTTTATAAGAATGCTTTAATTGACGGACAATACACGACACGGATCTTAGGAGGCGCGTGTACGACCCTTAAATTTGAAACCCCGTCATCTCCTTTTTTTGTCGATTCTTTCCGGCGGAGCCACACTTCCCCTGCCGTTGCTTCTTCTTCTCCTCCTCCTCCATCACCCGTCGGATTCAAAACCGAAACCCAAAGGTACAAAAAGCAAACCGACCCTAACAAATGTCGAACCTACTGTCCTGTTTTATCATTAATTAATCATTTGTTTATCTCACAATAATACGTCGTAATAATCAAAATAAAGAAAATATACAATCTGTACACGACTGCATTTGCGCGCACTGCGGAGAGATGAGGAAGTTCTGATCTTGCTCCTTCTCGATCTCTCCTCTTTCTCTCTGCACTTTTGCCCCCTTTCCATGATTTTCTTTCTACATCTTCTTCTTCTTCCATTTTTCGCAAATTCAAGTTCCACGGTTTTAATTTGAATCGATTTTCTGGGTTTTGTTTCCATAGGCGGCTGTAAAGTTCATTTCTTTTGGGTGTACGGTGATGAAATTGCAATGGGTTTTCGGTGTTAGGTCGTCCCGGGAGTGATTTTCTGGGATTCGGAAGGTACTGGGTTTTTTGTTTCTGTTTTCCGGTGGGGAAGACATTTGAATGGGAAATAAGTTGGGCAGGAGGAGACAAGTGGTGGACGAGAAGTACACAAGGCCTCAGGGGTTGTACCACCACAAGGATGTGGACAATAAGAAGCTTCGGAGGCTCATTCTTGACTCCAAGCTGGCTCCTTGCTATCCCGGGGAAGATGAATGTGCAGCACAATCTGAACTCGAGGAGTGTCCCATTTGCTTCTTGGTGTGTGTGCTCCCATACCCAACCCTTTTTTTCTTTCTTTCCAGCTTTAATTGGATTGGTTGAAGTTATGTGAATGCGTGATGGAATTGTTCTTATTTATAATGCTCATAATAGGAAACTGGTCTTGATGATGTTTTGATTGAGTAGTAAGGTTGTGATGCCATATCTTTATCCGTAGCTAGAATTTAGATATGGGAATCCATGTGTTTTCAAAATGCATTTTAATTAGCAGTAATTGTGTGAAGATCTCACTTTGTGTGTGATATATGAGTATTTTGGACAGTCGAACTACCTTTTTTTGACAGATAAAGATGAACCAAAGAAGTTAAAAACATTCCAGAATGATGTTGGGGTGTATCGGGTTTGGAATTTTACATTATTATTCTTTTGTATGAATTATGAAGGTGGTTATAGGAGCCTATCAGGCGCGAAACTTTGATACCTTGCTTACCTAAACTGTTATCATCATAGGCTCTTTCTACTTGCATGAAGAATATTATGAGACAACAGTGAGTTAAGATAGTTTCTAAGTCATGTCTCATAACAAGGTTGATATTGTAAAATTACCAAAATCAATGTGAACATCATGGGCTAAGATAGTATTGTATATTTTTTTTTCCCTTTGAAATAAAGACAATAATCTATTACTTAGGTGATGTCTGGATTGGTTTGAATATCATGTCAAATTGCCAATGATGTAATTGCAGGCATCTAGCACAAGTTGTTTTGGTTGTGGTGGGGGTGTATTTTTTTCTTCTTTCCAGTCTATGTGTAACACAAACTTCATGTTAACAATTTCAAATGGTTTCTACTGACTGCTTGATATAATACTCTCTTTGCTCAATTTTTTAATGTTTCCATTCATTTTGGCCTTTTCAGTACTATCCAAGTCTTAATCGTTCAAGATGTTGCATGAAAGGCATATGTACAGGTACCATTTTGCGAATTCATATTCTCCTGGGATGCAGCTTCCACTGTAGAAAGCTCTTCATGCACCGATGCCTTAACTTGTTTTCTTTGTACAGAGTGCTTTTTGCAGATGAAGACCCCTAATTCTACACTGCCAACACAGTATCCTAAATCTCTTAACATATTTCTTTCTGATTTGACTTCATATCCATTTCCAACCCATAACCTTTGCGAATCTTCCTTAACTGTATAAGATGCCCTTTCTGTAAGACCATAAATTATGCTGTAGAATATCGTGGAGGAAAAACGAAAGAAGAAAAAGGCATAGAGAAAATTGTATGGCTCTTTATTCCCTTATTTGAATCCCTGTACTTATTCTACGGTACCCCTCACACTAAGTGTTTTCTGGCCATTTCATTATCGTGTATGTTTTTATCTTAAACTTCTCCAGGAGGAACAACTTGTCATTGAAGCCAAAATAAGGATGAGACAACAGGAACTTCAAGATGAAGAGGAGAGGATCCTCAAACAAAAAGAGATGTGCTCTTCAAGCAATACTAGTGGACCAAGTGTGGTGGAGCATTGCTCAACCGAAGGTGCTGAATTGTTCACCTGGCAAATCTGTAATTGCTTTAATTTCTTGTATTATGACCCATGTATTGAACTACTATCATATCATGTGAATCAGTTCCTTTAGCTGCTTCTGTTGAAGGCTCTGAAGTTGTCACTTCTCAGCAAACGTGTTCCACTCCCGCAATTCGACAACCCGTGTTGCCAAGACAAATCAGGTATGGAATTGGCTGGTGCTCCGCATTCTTTTTCGTTCCATTATTAAATTCCGATTCAAGTTAATAGTTTGTAAACAACTCTATATGATTTTAGTTGTAAAAAATTAAGGAAATAGAGCGACGACTCTTTGCTGTTGGTAATGGGCTAGTAGCTCACCCTCTTCTTTTTTATCAAACATTAATTACTATATTGACTCCCCTTTGTGTGACGAAGTGTGTTATTATGTTTTTGCTCTAAATTTTGAATTTCTAATATAGTATGAGGTTGGCTTCTGCTAATCTTTGCAAGAGTTAGGCCATGTTTAGCTTCTGTTTTTCATATTCTTTTCATTCTCTGTTTTCTGTTGCATCCTCTAATTTCCCTTTTCTCTATACAACAACCCAATAGAATCCTATGAGAGTAGGGTTTGGGGAGGGTGGGTGTACAGACCTTACCCCTACTTGAAAGTAGAGAGGTTGTTCCCAAAACTTTCACATTCTCTACATATAATCATATTTTGCATCTTTGAAGCTTTTTCAGTTCTCCAACATATGGGAACACCTTTTTTTCGTTCTCCGGATTTAGTAAATATGGGGACAGTTCTCCATTTTAAAATCTGTTAAACATGAGAAATGAGCATATTCACCATTATCAAATTTTGTAAATGTAAGAAATAATCAACCCTTTTCATTTTCATTCTTCAATGTTTAAGTTTTTGTTGAAAATTTGGAAGATCTCGCCAACTAGCTAGTACACACATGCTTACTATTTGGGTTGGGCCGCAGGCTTATGAAACAAATCAGCGATTCATTGTACTGCACTAACACTATGTTTGGTTCAATGAGTTCGGAAGAAAAAGAAAAGAAAATGATTTTCTCTCATTTTCCTCACCTAAATGGGAGGAATTTTGTTTTCCCTCCACTTAGTACATTTTGCCTTCTCATTATCTTTTCTTCCACTTTTCCTCTCTAACCAAACAAGAAGAATTATTTTCCACATCATTTTCTTTTCTCTTTCAAATTCCTTGAACCAACCATAATGTAAGAGTCTTGAAAAGGCCCATCATGTACGCATACACAATCCTTGCACTTAATTTATAAAGTACAATGGGGAAACCTTAAACCTTTGTCCACCATGAAACTCACAAAGAAATCAAGTAGCCTTAAAACCAAACCACTGGCATTAAGGTTTTAAGCATTTTGATGGTGAAATATCTTTCATGAAAAGGTCATTTGCCCATTTGGCGGGGAAATAACATACCTCTGGAGGGCCAACACCTTTTCCATTTATTACTGCTTTGGTTTAGTTGGAATTGCAATCCACAAAAATGTCATCACTTAATCAGTCCACCTGCTTGCTATGTGATCAAATTGGAATCATTTGCCATGTTACTGTTAGTAGTTGACGAGTATTTTCCGAAAAAAGAATTCATTTTTTTTGTTTTTTTTAACAAAAAAGTGTTTCAAAAACTGGTCATGATTTTTTTGAACAACCATCTAATAGTTGGTTGCCAAAGAGGGGCTGCATCCTTAACCCGGAATATCTTCTGCATTCAATTCATTCCAGCTGTTTCTGTGACTCAGAAATCAGAAATGAATCTTGCTTATACAGCGTCGAGTTTTTATTTTCCAAATGTATAAGCATTATTTATTCTTATTCTTGATTTTTGAACAGGGAGGATGAATTTGACTTGGACCTTGAGGACATAATGGTAATGGAAGCTATATGGCTATCTATTCAGGTACTTGAAAACCCACTTTGATTTGTAAATAAATGGCAAGACACCCATAGTGTCCTAGTTACCTACTTTTAACTACTCAAGAGAGACCAGCCCTACATTATCTACTTTTTACACCTTTCACTTGTGAAATGACACATCAAACCTCCCTTGCTTCTTTAGATGCACATATCAAATTGGTTTCTCTAGAAAATGTGACTTAAAAATCTTATTCGGTGTCTAAACATGATATGCAAGGAAAACGGCAAGCTTCAAGCTCCTTGCCATAACGCTGAACGTGTACCTATTATGGTCCCACCCGTGGGACGGGGATCCTCGCCATCTTCCCCTTCCCCTTCAGGAGGTCTGGCTTGTGCAATTGCAGCCCTTGCAGAGCGGCAGCAAACAGAGAGGGATTCCTCCTCCTCCTCCACCATCTTCACCACCACCACCACCGCCGCCGCCAGTGCGTATGGTGGAGCAGCCATGGCATCATCTTCTTACCCCCATTTCACTAGTACCAGGTTCCCAAACACGGCAATGCAAGTAAACGAAGATTACTGTCCACCTCATAGCGAGATGAACGAGGTCAGGAACTGGGCTGACAATGGTTCTTCTTTGGTGGATGATGCGGGCCCCCCCTTCTCGGTGCCCCCCATCGTCCCAGAAAGCTTTGAAGAACAGATGATGCTGGCCATGGCTGTTTCGCTTGCCGACTCACAGTCAATGACTACAACAACAACAAGTAAACATGGTGTACCAGGAGAGGCGTGGCGTTAGCCCCTGAGGAGGAGAGGAGAATAACACGGTGTGTCGGGGTTGTTTTTGTAATTTCCAGCAGTACAGTGTTGAAATGTGGTGGATATATATACTTGGAGAAGAAAATGGTTTTAGGGAATGGTTATAGACTGTGTTGTTTAATTAAGCGAGGGAAAATAGGCAAAACACAAAACAAACTTTCAAGGTGAGGAAATTGTGTGGGCTTAGAAGGAAAAAAAAAGCTGTTGGCATCATATGCATTCATGTGTCAACTAGGTTGGCTATGTTTTTACCCCTTTTCTTTTGGAGGTTTCCATGTTAAAATTCTCCTGTTTTTTATGTGTGTTTTTTTTATTAGTGAATTTTTTTTATTTATTTTTTTGAGATATCATACCCATCAGTCTCAAATTTACTTGGCCAATGTCTCTTTTTTTTTTTCAGTCTCAATATATTGTAAAGTATGGGTGGTTTTTTTTAAATCTATCAAATTTAAAGAGGAAGAATTAAAGTACAAAGTATATATTTTCAGAAAGTTGAGGTTTTACAAAAATACTCGAATATTATATAATTATAATCACAAGCTAGCGCTCTTAGAATTCAATATTTTCACAATATGATAATTTGAAATCTTAAATTGATCACAAATAAATACGGAGTACATCGTAAAAATTTGAAAATTTTAGTAAATTAAACATTTTCTTAGAATATTATTATAAAAGTATTGATTTTTAGAAGCAATAATGATAAGTATTTATGTTTACTAGGAACATTTTATAAAATTCTAAATTTCTCAAAATATTGACATGAATTTTTTCATATACGGAGTAAATAAACTTTAATGAAAAGTACTAATCCCTCCCATCAATCCCTCATTTTCTTAACACAATCCCTTCCTCAATAATATAAGCAAGTCTTTGTTTGCCCATTTGGTATTGAAGATTGAAAATTGATTGAATAGCACGCATGGGTAGCTCAACTGGCCTAAAGAGAGAATGTCAAGTCTATTGATTTTAGTGTCGAATATTAACAACTTCAATGCGAAAATTCTATTATTTGTAATAGTTATTTGTGCGTAATGGATACGAGTTAACTTCTCTAAGGACCAGATTAGAATTATACCTGTAATTTACTCTCTCAGAAACCTTTCAGACCCAAGGTATTCGGGCACCCAAGGTGGGCGTTTCACCCTCGAAAATGAATCGGATGGCATATAAAGAATTGGCTTTTTATATTTTCTAATTCCTTTTTTCTTTCTAAAGTCAAAGAATTGTCTTTATTTGGTTTTTATCCGCTGACTATTCACAACAAGAAATGAGAGAGCACATCACGTTAAGTTCAAATGAAAATGAGCAATGCTAGGGGTACACCAAAAGTGTACCCCAAATGTACACCACCCCCTTCTCAATCACCCATTTTTATTTGATTTTTATTTATTTATTTATTTTTTGAAATTCTTGCCAATTTATGTGGACAAGGAGGGGGAGGGGGACATATGGGGTACACCTTTGGTGTACCCCTAGCATTTTTCAAAATACATGTCACATTTACTATTTTTTGATGTCACATTTATTAATTAATTTACAGCTTTAATATATGAATACGGATAATCATATTATTGCACAAATAAAAACCAATTATTCATCAAACATTTTAAAAAATAAACCCCTTTTAAATTACAGGTCTAAATTCTAAAATAACACATCTACTTGAATTGAAAGACATACATCTTATAAATTGTCTTGACATCATCATTCGATGTATATTTATTTTTGAATGATATTGAATCTATCATAATGTAGTATCATTCTATGTATAATTTAAATATTAAATAATGATAAAAGTTTGTAAATTTTATGGCAGAATCCAAACGCAACAAATACTTTCTTCGTCCCATATCTTTTCGAAATATAGTTTAGACAACAAATTACAAAAAAATAAATTGAATTTTGAGATAGATTATATCAATATATTTATTTCAAAATATAGTTTAAATATTAATAATCAAAGTATTGCATCTGTAACTTGTAAAAAGTTAAATAAGAAGAAAGATGTCAAAGAGAGACATACGGTTATTGATATTGGCACTCCAAAAATTACTAGTTGCACTCCACTTCTTTTTTATATTTCGTTATTTCCCTAAATGCCCCTCAAGCACTTCATTTTTCGGGTACTTCACCTCACCACTCCATTGTTCATAACAAAATTAAATTAGTTCATTATTAATTTATGTATCTGTTTACTAATTCATGCATTAATTTTTTTAAAATATTTTTTTCACAGGTCCCATAATGGCCTTTTCACTTTTTCTATCATTTTTTGAAAAAGAGTATATGGTCTAAAATAATTATTTTCTCTTTTTATAAAAATTATATCATTCACTTTTTTAACTAATTAACATTTTTCCCATTTTTTTTAAAAAATAAACTTACATTCAAAATAACAAAATAGCATTTTGAAAACATTATGGGCAAATATATATCACATCCCTCTCAGTATGAGATTTATTTTGACTTTTTGAGCCGCACTGGAAAAATTTTGATGCTTAACTAAATAAAAATTACTACATTGCATATTAGTTTCAAATGATTTATTTAGATATGTCGTGCTAAAAACTTTGAAGTTTTATTTCATTGCATTAATGTGTAATACGGAGTTAGCATAATTGATGATTAAATTTTATCCAGTTTCACTTGAAAGAAAAACACGAATTATTTAATTACATAAAAATGGGGAGAGCATATCTGTGTATTCAAAAAATATATTACAATTAAAAAAATAAATTTGAGAATAATTGAAAGGTGTTGATTAATCAAATATCCATTCATTTTATACTCATATACTTGGGAGTAATATAATATGGAAATAGTAAAATGGGAAGAGTGATTGAAAAAGTAAAGTTGCCGTATTCTGAATAACTAGTGTATTTTATGGAGAGTGAAATAAAATGGTATTTGGGAGATTAAATCAAAGAATAAAAGAAATTAAATACGGAGTAGATTATAAGTGGTAATATTTGGAGTCATATTATCATTTGTCAAAAATGTAGTGGTGAGGGGCACTTTGGGGAAATAATGTAATGTAAGAAGGAAATGGAGTGCAACTAGTAATTTTTGGAGTGCCAATATCAATAGCCGAGGCATACATATTAGGATAGAAAGAACACTACAAATTAGTTAACATTATCCCTAATAGTCAAATAGGATTATAGGCATGGCATATAAAATACTCCATATCATTTACACACAATAAGAGATTTTGAAATGAATAATCGGATACATATTTCCAACAAACTCATTTATGATGGGTAACATGATTGTGATCAATACAGTATGAAGAAAAAATGTAAACATCAGAACAAGTTGCTAGATTTGTGGGAAATGTTGGCCATTACAGTGGCTAATAAGAGAAAACTGATTTTTAAAAAAATATCAATTTTAACTGAGTTTAAGATCAGATATAAAAAATTGTTTACAAATATGTCAAGGATATTAATATTAATATCCTATCTCTAGTACGAAATGTATATTAGAAATTTCATCACAATTATCTATTGGATATATAAAAAATGGACAATTAATTTCGGGCAATAACAAAAAAAATAGATAGAGGAAATACTTCGTACTTCCTCCGTCTCATAAAACATTTCAAAAACAAAAAAAGACGCACTTTAAAAATGGGTTATTTTGGTATTTTTTTCTAATTATGACTCATCTTTCCTACACATCATATTCTACTTTATTATAAATAATGTAAGAGCAAAATTAGGAAATAATACATTATTAGGGCACACTTTTTTCTTTTTTGAAAAGTTTTATGAGACGGAGGTAGTGTATGTTAACGATTCAACTCATTTAAAAACTTTGACAGATTTTTATTTACCAGGATAATCAAGAACGTGTGTATGTATCGAAATAGTATAATGTCATAAAATTCATAAAAACTGCAAACTTTTTCTGATAGTATAATGTCAAAATGGTATGTTACTTCGTATTTCATAGTCACTTCGTCCAAAAATTATCTCTTCGTTTCACGTTACGATGTCTGATTGAATTAATTTTTAAATTATTTTATATAAAAAAAGTATAGAAATAAAAAAACAAAAATTACATATTTTAAAACTATATAAAAATCTACAACACTAGAGTTGACATAATTATATTGTTTTATCAAATAAGAATCAAAAGTAGACCAACAAAATAAATAAAATTTGACCTTATAAGTTGTGAATGAAAGAGAATATTTGGATGGAGAGAGTGTATTTTAGTGTACTATGTATATATGTACAATATTGGCTCAAAAGTCATTGATAAAACTTGAACTTATATAAAGAAGATGAATATACAAAAAAATGATTGTGGGTATAGGTGTTGGGTTAAATACCCTTATTTATTTAAAAAAATCGTCTTCTTATTTGTAACGAGTCTATTATATACTCCGTACTATCTTTGTTCATAAATTTTTTTCCTAGTTTTATTTTTTAGTCAAACTTTTAAACTCTAATCATGAGGTACGAAAAAATATATGGTGAATTATGATACAAATTTAATATCAATAGGAATTCATTTTGAAATATGATTTTAAAATATTTTATCTTTTATAATAATATAAATTTATATACGGAGTATAAATTTATATATAAATAAAGATATTAATAATAAAAATTTGGTATAAAATGCCTCAAAAAGTCATGGATAGGGTGCAGCTTTCTTGAGCCTAGAAGACTATTATCTCAAGAACCATATTTAATTAAAACTCTAACCAAAAAAAACATAAAAAGAAAAAAAACAGTTGGGAAACAAGTTTTTAATAGTCAAATGAACTTACCCAATACCAAGTAGACTAGTTGTGGTGTAAACTGTAAAACGGAATGGGCCACTGCACCATATCATATCCCCAACATGCCCTCAAATTTAATGTGAACAATGTAGTGAATTGTCAACTTTTTTTGAAATTTACTTACAAATTAGGAGAAAAATAAATTGAAATGTATGCGTTCTGTCTCTAAAAAAACACACCTCTGTACATATATATAATGTTCAAGATCCATCATATTTCTTTTTATTACAAATGGAAGTTGTTTTGAAGTCATTTTAGATACTTTAGATACGGAGTAGTATAAAAGTGTTTTATGAAATGCAAAAAAAAATGAAATTGGAAGTAGTTTTAGAGAAAAAGAGTATTATAAATTTAATATCAATAAGTTCATTTTGAGACATAGTTATTAATAGTCAAAATGTTGAGTTGAAGACTAAAAAAAATAAAGGAAGAATTAAAAGAAAAAGGAGAGATGGATTATAAAATAGTAAAATTTGCGCAAAATAGAATTAAAACATAATGACTTTTCCAATGTAGGACTTAAATTTTTTTATTCTCTAAATAGGACTTAATAATAACCTAGTGGAAAGAATAATGTCCACTAATGAGATGGACATTTACTTGAATAATGACTACTTGATAATGACCGA